GGTTGAGGCCCTTTAGTCTCTGGTTATTAGATACACCGATTTCTATTTAGCTAAAGGTGTGTAAGATTGAATGTGTGGCTTAACTGCCTGTGAAATTAGACAGTAATCTGTGGGGAGCTGTAATGCTGAAGGTAAAAGGTCTAAGCTGAAATATTATTTGTGTGGGTTGCTGGGGATGCATGCAGTAGAGATGTATGACTTGAAAGAGACATAATCTAGTTGAATGTTTTAATTTTCTAAAATATTTCTGAATAACAAATATCTAGAAGAGTCTGTAAGGGAACTAATTAAAAAGCATTCAGAGACATAGTCTCAGCTCGTCTAAGGCAAAATAGTCTAAGCAAAACAGATAAATGATTCTGTAGAAAAGTCTCCGAAGTGGTTTCATGGCACGATTTATCTAGTTCTTGAATAAAGAAGGGAAAGAACAGAATGAGAGGGAGTAACGGAGAGTTTGGCAAGCTGGTATTTCTAGTGCTATTAATAAAAATAAATATTTAAAATAAGTAGAAAGGGGAACTCTATTTCTGTAATAAAACAACAAAGTTTGCAAAAAGATATAAAGTTTAAAGGACTTGTTAGAATTGCATTAACAAAAATGAGCTTTAAGAATTTTAAGATGATAATTTAAAACAAATGTTTGCAGCGAAATCTCTTAAGGTATGTTCTCAGATAAGTGGAGAATAGGAAAACCTCTCAAATGATCTGTGGCCACCATGTCCTGTAGGGAGTGGCCTGTAGTGTAGCTGGGTCAGCTATGTGTCCCTGAGATCCCTGCCCTTTATTTTCTTCTTCTTTTTCTGAAGAAAATTTACTCCACAATTGAAAAACACTGTGAGCAGACTTAAAACGAACATCGGGGCCATCTTGACTTAGCCGTAGAACAAAGAATGACTTTAGATCAGGGCACTTACATTTCATCAACTCCAGGTTGAACCGTGAACTTTTAGTTAATTATGTTTTTATCAGCTTTGAGGTCCTTTTCATGAAATGGAGACACTATCTACCCAAAGTGTAGTTGTGAGGATTAAAATATGAAAATTTCTATGACAGTTAATTATTTATTTTTTCAATAAATATTTAGTGTCTGTTCTGAGAGAGGAATTATGCCAAGTACTGTAAAAACCAAGACTGATAATTCGTAGACCCTCCCTTCATACAGCTAATAGAAGGAAAGACATGTGGAAAGATAAGTGCCCTGGATGTTCACAGAGGTCGTGAGACTATATGGCACCCCTGAGGGAGGGGGTCAGTTTTTACATGTACAGATGGGGTCAGAAGGGGTTTCACTGAAGAGAGGCATGTGGTTGGTCAGGCAGTTCATGGAGGTTGGGTGCTGCCTGGTTGGACACAGTAGGTGGCTTTGAATGTATGCTGAAGTAGCGAGGTGCCTTTATGATGATGTCCATGTATTTGAAGAAGACAAGGGCGTTAGAAATTACAAACTGAGTATAGAATAGATAATAGGTGCATGTATTTTGAGATAGTTGTCACTCTAAACATAGAGTAGAAATGAAAAAGCAAAGGTTAATGACTGTGACTATGAACAATCCTATATAGGATTTTTGTATGTACATACGTTTTTATTTATCTGGAATGAGATCTTTCTAGAAGTACATTTGCTGTATCATATGGGAAGTACATGTTTAGTTTTTGTTTTGTTTTTTTGTTAGGAAACTGCCAAACTATTTTCCAGAGTGACTGTGTCATTTTACATCCCCAACTCTAATATATGAGAGATCTGGTTTCTCCGCATCCTCGCCGAGAACTGGAAGCAATCAAAATGTCCCTCAGTGACCGCATGGTGAAACTATGCCGTCCATGACATGGGACTGCTCGGTGAAGAAAGGAACAAACTTGATACATGCAACAACCCAAGTGTTACACTGAGTGAAAAGAGCCAAACTCCAAAGGTCACATACTGCATGATTATACTTATATAACATCCACAGAATAATAACATTATGGAGACAGAAAGACTGGTGACTGTCAGGGGTGAGGGACAGTGATGGAAGGAGGAACTGTGCGTAGCTACAAAGGAGTAGCACGTGGGAGATCTTTGTGATAATGGAGTAGTTCTGTATTGTAGAAGTTTACAAATTCACACATGTGATAAAATGACACAATTATACACATGTTCTGTCCCCACTGTCAAATCCTGGCTTTAGTATGGTACAATTAATATGTAAGATGTAATGATTTAGGGAAAATTGAAGGATACTGTTTAAATAGTAAACAGGACCTCTCTGTACTATATTTGAACATTTTTGCAAAGCAGTGAATATTTAAAAATAAAAAGTTAAAAATAATGTGATCTTCAGAAAACAACAAGAAAAAAATATTCGTGGTGACAAGAGAAACCATCTGTATATGGTGAAGAAGGAAAGAAAACGTCTGGATACAATAGATTAAAGAAACAAGGAAACAATTAGTTGAATGCTTTCAGTTGAAATATAAAAATGCATTACAATTATGTCCTTTTCAAAGGAGAAATATACCCTCTGTGGTAGACATTGTGTCATTTTCTTCAACATTAAAACTACATATTGATTAGGCTTTCCAGATGTCCTTTAGCAGTGGAAAAATATATGTAAATATTTTTTGGTAAAACTAAGATTTACCAATCTAAGTTTTGGATACTATTGGATAGTTTCTAATTACTATTGGATAGTTTCTATAACTTCTTATAAAAATAAATGGTTTCTTTTGTAAAAATTTCATAGAATTTAAAGAAAATATTCAGATTAATTTTCATTGATTCTCTGCATCTGGCATTCATATATATAAATGTACATATTTATATTCTCTTTTCTTTTAGTGAAATGGTCTCTCATCTCCTCCTATGCCCAGTACAAGAGTGCTCCAAGATCTGTGTTTAGATTGCCCAAAGAATTGCCCCCTCCAGTATAATAATTATTATATGTGAATAGTATCATTAAAAAATAATAATTGCATAGCGGCTGCACCAGTCTGCATTCCCACCAGCAGTGTATTAGAGTCCCCTTTTCTCCACACCCTCGCCAACACTTGTTGTTTGATGATTTGTTGATGGCGGCCATTCTGACAGGTGTGAGGTGATACCTCATAGTTGTTTTAATTTGCATCTCTCTGATGATTAGTGATGTTGAGCATTTCTTCATATGTCTCTTGGCCATTTGTATGTCCTGTTTGGAGAGGTGTCTATTCAGCTCCTCTGCCCATTTTTTAATTGGGTTCTTTGTCTTCCTTTTGTGGAGTTGTATGAGCACTCTGTATATACTGGAAATTAACCCCTTATCTGATACATCATTGGCAATGATGTTCTCCCATACAGTGGGTTGCCTTTCCATTTTGATGATTGTTTCTTTTGCTGTGCAGAAGCTTTTTAGTTTGATGTAGTCTCATGTGTTCATTTTCTCCTTTATTTCTGTTGCCTTAGGTGATGTATCAGTGAAAATTCTGCTCCGTATGATGTCCGAAATTTTGTTGCCTACATTTTCTTCTAGAATTTTTATGGATTCACGCGTCACATTTAAGTCTTTTATCCATTTCGAGTTTATTTTTGTGTATGGTGTAAGTTGATGGTCTAGTTTCATTTTTTTGCATGTAGCTGTCCAATTTTCCCAACACCATTTATTAAAGAGGCTGTCTTTACTCCACTGTATGCTCTTGCCACTTTGTCAAATATTAATTGAGCATATTGCCTTGGGTCCATTTCTGGGTTTTCAGTTCTGTTCCACTGGTCTATATGCCTGTTCTTGTGCCAATACCAGGCTGTTTTGGTTACAGTCGCTTTGTAGTATAACCTGATATCTGGTATTGTGATCCCTCCAACTTTGTTCTTCTTTTTCAAGATTGCTGTGGCTATTCGGGGTCTTTTTTGGTTCCATATGAACTTTTGAAGTATTTGTTCTAGTTCTATGAAATATGTCGTTGGTATTTTGATGGGGATTGCATTGAATCTATAGATTGCTTTGGGTAGTATGGACATTTTAATGATGTTAATTCTTCCAATCCATGAACAGGGTATGTGCTTCCACTTTTTTATATCTTCCTCTATTTCTTTTTTCAATGACCTGTAGTTTTCTGCAAATAGGTCTTTTACTTCTTTGGTTAAGTTTATTCCTAGGTATCGGAAAACAATATGGTGCTACCTCAAAAAATTAAAAATTGAACTTCCATTTGACCCAGTGATCCCACTGCTGGGAATATACCCTAAGAAGCCTGAAACACCAATCAGGAAGAATATATGTACCCCCATGTTCATAGCAGCACTATTTACAATAGCTAAGATCTGGAAACAGCCCAAGTGTCCACCAGTAGACGAATGGATCAAAAAGCTGTGGTACATATACACCATGGAATACTATGCAGCGGTAAGAAAGAAAGATCTCTTATCCTTTGAGACGACATGGAGGGACCTGGAAAGTATTATCCTAAGTGAAAGAAGCCAAGCAGAAAAAGACAAATACCACATGATCTCACTTATATACGGAATATAATGAACATAACAGTCTGAGGAATACAGTAGACCCAGACACATGGAAGTAGGGCACAGACTGACATCCCTCAGAAGAGGGGATGGGGGGTGGGGGGGGTGGGAAGGGATAAACCACAGAACTTACATGCATGTATGCATGACCAATGGACATGGACAACTAAGCCAGGGACAGGGTGGAGGGGGGGTGGGATGGGGGGTGCCAATGTGGTAAAAAGGTAAAATATCTGTAACAAAAAAATAAATATATAAATAAAATTCAAAAAAAAAAATAATAATAATAATAATTGCTACCTAGAAAAGTATTTTCTTGACATAATCAATTGCACCATCAATAGAAAACTCACTCCCAGCTCTCTGTTTGCATTTTAATGAGTTTTTAGCCATTTCACCAAAGTGGGCCTGTTTCTTACAGGAAATGGCCGAGGTAGCTCCCCAAGTACCAAGTTGTATACCTAGAGTCAGAGGAAGGTATTTCCAGCAGTTTTTCTTTTTAAGTAGTTTTTTACGTTTTATTTTTCAGTGACAAAATGTCTGAATGAATATTGGACTATGGAACTTCGGAAGTCGAGGGCTGGAATAAATTCCAGCATGGCTGAGTCATGGCTTCAATCAATGTCATCAGGTAAGTGTGTTTCAAATATACCTATTAGCTTCCTTACTCTTTTTGGTTTAATTCTCAGGAATGTTTTCCTACATGATGACAACATGACTACCAAAAGTTATAGGTTTACATCACCCTTACAGTCTGATGAAAATAGAATGTGTCCTTCTTAATAGTCATAGAAAAACCCCAATAATAACATTCACTGGTTTGACTTCGGGTATGTACTATCCTGGAACAATTACCGAGCTCAGGGGAGCAGAACAAATTGACTGTCCAGGGTTTTGTTGTGTGTCTGTGCCTGGTAGTGGGTAGAATCATCCCCATTTGAAATGAATGGTTTAATGCTCCAGAAAGGGAGTTTGGTCAAACTCTCCTTCAGAAGGAGAGTAAATGTCACTAAAAATGTTGAAAAAAAAAATTAGCGTATTTTGGATGCAAAATCAAACTTTAAAAATGTTATGAACAGTAATTTTTTTCTAATCCTCATCTAAGGACATACATTAATGTGTGTGTGTGAGAGAGAGAGAGAGACAGAGAGAGAGACAGAGAGACAGAGAGAGAGAGAGACAGAGAGAGAGAGAGAGAGAGAGAGAGAGAGAGAGAGAGAGAGAGATTGGTTGCCTCCCTTATGCACCCTGACTAGGGATTGAACCCACAACCTAGGTATGTGCCTTGTCAGAGAATCAAACTCACAACCTTTTGGTGTATGGAAAATGCTCCAGCCAACTGAGCTGCACTGGCCAGGGCTGAACTGTAATTTGCATGTCATGGGTTTCTGTTTTTTGTTTTTTTAATTTCACGAGGCTGACAGTTCAGTACATTATGGAAAACTTAGTTCCATTATCCCTGATATTTTTGTAGTAGAATATACTTGATTATAATTTAATATTTACATTGAATACAATTCATACATGTTACCTTTGCATATTGTGTTCTACAGATTTGTTTTTTGCCTGTTTTATTTTAGTGTCTGTGTGCTCTTTCCCAACATGGTCTACGTCTCATTCAACTTTACATCATCAGCAATTTGTACAGTCATGGTTTCATAAGACTTGTCCATTCATTGACTCTTTCAGCCATGAAAAAATGTTTATTTGGGCACTCACTATGACTCAGGCACAATTTGTGCTCTAGAATACATAAAAAATAAAGTCCCTGCATTGATGGGGACTACATTCTAATGAGATAGAAAGGACCTAAATAAACAAAGATGTATGTGTTACAATATTAGGTAGAGGAAACTAAAGCAAATTAAGATAACAGAAAGGATGCTTCAAAAAGGAGATGAAATGAGATCTCATGCAATGTTTGAGTAAAAATCATACCAGATGGAGGGAACATCATGTGCTGGACTCAGAGACAGGCAAAGGATGGGAATGTGACTCGTATCCACCCAGAACAGCAAGGCTAGAGTCAGTGGGCTCGAGGAAGGTGATACAAGTAGGACCTTATCCTTCATGGTAAGGATTTTGGATATTACTCTAAGTATGAGATAATTGGGAAATCTTGTAATATATACATTTTATGTATTTTACATTTTTTCATTTTGTTCTTCAGTTTTGTTATGTGAATTTTGACAAATGTATATACATGAAAACTACATCCCAACCAACCAAATTTCTATCTCCCCAAAAGTTTAATGTTGATGCTTCCAATTACTTCACTCCCACCTATAGACAACAACTGTTCTATTATCTATTGCCATTGATTGATTTCACCTTTATCTTAGTTTCATATTAATGGAATCATACATTTGCGTACTCTTTTGTGTCTGGATTTTTTCTCAATAAAATGTTTTTGAGAGACATCCATGTTATTGTAAGAATAAGTAGTTTACATTTGTTTTAAATTGATGTATAATTGACATGTAACATGTTAGTTTCAGGTGTACAACTAATGATTCCATATTTGTATACATTGCAGATGTTCACCACAATAAGTTTATTGACATTCATCACCGTAGTTACAGATTTTTTCATTAACTATAGTCATCATACTGTCCATTACATCCACACGACTTAAAGTTTGCACATGTCGATACCTTCACCCATTTTCCCCACCCAGGTAACCACCAATGTATTCTCTGAGCTATCTTGTTTGATTGCTTTTTTAAAAAATTCCTCATATAAGTGAAATCATTCATTATTTGTCTTTCTCTGACTGACTTATTTCACTTAGCATAATGCCCTTGCATCCATTGACATTATCAAATGGAAGGATTTCATTCTTTTCATTGCTGAATAGTATTCCCTTGGGTGTATATATAGCTATCTACCTATCTGTCTATATCATGCATCTTTTTTACCTGTTCATCCATTGGTGGACATTTAGGTTGTTTCCATATCATGACTATTGAAAATGCTGCAGTGAACATGGGGGTGCATATGTCTTTTTGAATTAATTTTTAAATCTTCTTTAGACAAATACCCAGAAATGAACTTGCTGTGTCATATGGTAGTTCTATTTTTAATTGTTTCAGGAACCTTCATAATGTTTTCCATAGTGACTATACCAATTTACATCCTCACCAATAGTGCACAAGGTATTCTTTGTCTTCATAGTCTCAAAAACACTTGTTATTTCTAGTCTTTTTGATAATAGCTACTCTAACAGGTGTGAAGTGGTATCTCATTATAGCTTTGATTTTCATGTCCCTTAGTTAGTGATGTTTGGCATCTTATAATTTTCCAGTTGGCCCTCTGTATGATTTCTTTGGAAAAATGTCTATTCAGATTCTCTGTCCATTTTTAAAATCAGATTGCTTTTTTTTTAATTATTCAATTGAGTTCTTTATATATTTTGGATATTAAAACCTTATCAGATAAATAATTTGCAAATATTTTCTCTCATTAAATAGGTTGCATTTTATTTTGTTGGTGATTTTCTTTGCTGTGTAGAAGGGTTTTGTTTTTGTTTTTGTTTTTAGTTTACTTCTGCTTTGTTACCTTTGCTTTTGGAATTAGATTTTTAAAAAAAACAACAACAACAATAACTCATCACCAAGACCCATGTTCAATTCTTACATTCAAGTTTTTTTTATCTATTTCCAGTTAATTTTTGTATATTGTGTAAGATGATAATGTAGTTTCATTGCTTTACATGTAGCTGTCCAGTTTTCTTAACACTATTTATTGTGCTGTGTTTTCTCCTTTGTATATTCCTGGCTCCTTTGCCATAAATTAATTGACCTTATATGTGTGGATTTATTTCTGGGCTATCTATTCTGTTCCATTGTTCTATGTATTTGTTTTTATCCCAACTCTATACTGTTTTGATTAATATAGTTTTGTATTATAGTTTGAAATCAGGGAGTGTGATGCCTCCAACTTTTTTCTTTCTTCGCTTTGATCATTTAAGGTCTTCTGTTGCTCCATAGAAATTTTAGGATTGTGAAAAATGCCATTGGAATTTCATAAGGATTGCATTGCACCTATAGATTGTTTGGGATACTATAGCTATTTTAATAATATTAATACTTCCAATCCATGGCAAGAACTTTTTCAATTTCTTCCATCAATGTTTTGTAGTTTTCAGTGTACAGATTTTTCATTTCCTTGGTAAAATTTATTTTTAGATATTTTATTCTCTTTGATGCTGTTGTAAATGGTATTGTTTTCTTAATTTATCTTTCTGATATTTTGTTATTAGTGTATAGAAGCACATCAGATTTTTTTGTTGATTATATATCCTGCAACTTTGTTTATTATATCTAACGATTGTTTTGGATGGAGTCTTTAGGGTTTTCTTTCTTTTTTTTTTTTCCTTTATTGATTTTAGAGAGAGAGGGAGAGAGAGATAGAAACATTGATGAGAGAACATCGATTGGCCGCCTCCTGCATGTCCCCCACAACCTGGGCATGTGTCCTGACTGGGAATAGAACCAGTGAGCTCTTGGTGGATGGGTAGACGCTCAACCACTGAGCCACACCAGCCAGACGAGTCTTTAGGGTTTTCTAAATGTCATATCATCTGCAAGTAGTGACAGTTTTACTTTTTAAAATTTGCAGGACTTTGTTACTTTTATTGCCTAATTGCTATGGCTAAGACTTCCAATATTATGTTAAATAAAAGTGGTGAGAGTGGGCAGCTTTTCACTGTTGAGTATGAATGATTTTAGCTGTGGGTTTGTGATATATTCCTTTATTATGTTGAGGTACATTTCATCTATACCCACTTTGTTGTTTTTATCATAAATGCAAGTTGAATTTTACCAAACGCGTTTTGAGTTTGAGAAAGATAGATATTAATCCTCCTTTGAATATTTAGTAGTTTTCTTTGTTGAGAGATTTGTGATGACTGCTTTAATCTCTGTACTAGTAATTGGTCTGTTCAGATTTTCTGTTTCTTCATGTTTCAGTCTTGGACAGTTGTATGTTTCTAGAAATTTATCCGTTTCTTTTAAGTCTTCCAATTTTTTGTGATAATCATTCATAGTTGTCTCTTATGATCCTTTTCATTTTTGTGGTATTGTAAATTCCCCTCTTTCATTTCTGATTTTATTTGAACCCGCTCTCTTTTTTTCTTGGTGAGTCTAGTTAAAGGTTCACCAATTTTGTATATCTTTTCAAAGGATCAGCAACATATTTTTAAGGGTCAGTCATGTTATTGTATGAGTCAGTAGCTCATGTTTTATTTTTTGATATTATTTCATGCTATAAATGGAAATATATTTTTTATCCTGTTAATAAGTAACTGGATTTTCTCCAGTTATAGGCAAATATCTAGAAATATTATTTTATAATTCTTTGTATGAACATGTGCTTGATTTATTTTTGATAATTACTAGGAATGAAATTACTAGGTTATATGGTAGATGAATTCTTAGGTTTATATGAAACTGCCAAACTGTTTCCAAAGTGGTTATGAAATTTTATATTCCCATGTTAATGGGTAAGAGTTTTGTAACAAGGCCAAAATAAAATCTTGTCAGTTTTTATTTATTTAACTTTAGTCTTCTGGAATGTGAAATGGTATTTAATTTTTAATGCACATTTTCCTAATAATTGTGTCGAGCATCT